TTATGAAGTTAACTCTTCTTTTTCCCCAACCTAATATATTTGTTTCGGGATTTAAAGTCGAAAAATCGTTCTCGAAAAAATTTCAACATAAATGGACGTTCTATATATATATATCGGTATTGTCCGATTTTAGTTGTTTTAACTGTAGTAATGGCTAAAAATTTGGAAAAATGTCAACATAAATTCTGCTTCCTCACATATCAAAAATAGAGCCAAGGCTTCGCAAAACCCGCATATATAGTGCTGCTGTTCGATAAAGACCCTAACCGAATTTTTCAATACATGTATCTGCAATATGATATTTCGGGCCTCACACTCTTATTTTTAATATAGATCCCCTTTCGGTGGCGCCCAATGTTTTAGAATCCTCCATTCGTTTTATATGACATTTACAAGTTTTCAATATTTTGACTCTTTGTTGGGGAGGTGTTAGATCACATGAGTGGACCGATGGGTCCCGTCTTCGAAGAATTGATAAAAATACTACAAAGTGCAAAGTTTGGTTCAAGTCGATTAATATTGAATTTTCAAAATTATGACACTTTTTTGGGGTTGCACAGTGGGCGATTGGGCCTCGTTAGCGGCATTTAATTAATAACTTATAAACGATATCTTCAGTCGGTTTTTTACAGTTCAGAAAAAAGTTTTTTTTTTTAAGAAAAAAATGTGCCTATTTCTTTCTTAATTTTTAAAATTATTTTTATTTTTAAAATAGTTTTATTATTTTTTTTTTAATTTTAATTTTTTTTAACTTCAATAAACACATTTCATAAATCAAAATTATTTTCGGAATCAGAATCAGGCATATCTAGATGTTCCATTAAAAGCAAGCGCTTAACATCATCGTCCATAATAATATATTTGCAGACGAAATTGAAGACCCATTTGACAATGAAGATATCAAAGGGTCTGACAAAACTAATAAAGCATTTATGATATCTTTGATTGTATTTTTCCTGGAATTTTCTATTGTATTGCTCTCGCGTATGTTGCGATAGTCCTTGTTCCTGGTTTCAAGAGCTTCTTCGGACAGCATACCAATCGGAAGGAAAAAATGGTTTATTATATCTGTTGCATGAATTAAAATTCTGTGCTTTAACAGTTTCCAATGCGTAAGATCCGAATGCGATCGAATTTATGTCGTATCCATAATTAAATCACACCTTACTACCGTTATACGAGCAGCCAAATTTGGTTGTTGGATAAACCTCCTTGCAGTGTTTCCGTTGTTCGTCCACCAACAAATGCATTTCTTCCCTTAGCTTCTGCTGAATACTTCTTTTATTTTGTTCGACGACATCCTTGTGGAGACTTGATAAGCCATATTCAAATATGTTTCCCTTAATAGGAAAGCTTTTCACCAAATTCAGATCGTTCATATTTTGGTAGTCGCGCTACAGATTCCACATGTTTGCGAAGCCGATTTCGAAATGGCACTGAAATTGGTGATCAATTCTTAAGGTGCTCACAAATGTTGCAAATATATTTAATATTTAGCTGTTAATGTTTTCAATTTCTCTGCGAGAGAAGTCTGCCGATTCTTTCTCGCAAAGTAATTTAATGGGTCGATAATATCGGGTAGAAGAAGGTCGATTGTTTTTCCATAAAACGGTCGGTCTTTTCTGCACTATCAATGGTACAAATTTTACAATTTGTTTCGCACAACGCAGTTTGTCGTAGCATGGATATATATCGGCGTTTTGCTCTTTAGCGGCTCTCTTTTTGACAAATTCCATGTGTACTTGGTATGTCCAAAATCTACAAATATGCCATACTAAAAAATTACCGGGTTTTGCTACCGACATTGTTCCAAAAAATTGCCATGATTTGAAGGTTAGCAGGTTATAGCAGTTCATATTACACATTTTGGACGCACAATGGCTCATACTTTCTGCTAAAAAAATGAGTTAGACCGAATCCGTGCGAATCTTGTAAGTTCTACTCCACGAACGACAGCTGCGTGTTATAGCGGACTAGTTGATAATACACTTAATTACCACTACGTCTTATGAACAGCACATTTATAGACCGGTAACAAACACAGATTTTTTATGTAATACATACCTTGAAGTTAATAAAAAAAGCCACACTTTTAATAAAACAAGTAAAAATTGTAAATTTCCAAGGAGCTCGAAATCAATGCGCACAACAAAGAAAAAATATTGTAAAGCACTTGCTAAAACATATTTTGTGTTTGACAGCTCACAGCTAATGATCAGCTGATCGTAGAGCTTATAAAAAAAAGGTCAAAAATCTAATCAAAGCATCCGATATCGATTTGTGAAAAAATTAACGCTTTTTTAAATTTGGAAATTTGAATTAAATGCCGCTAGCGAGAACCAATCGCCCACTGTGCGGTTGGACCGATTGACTTCAGACGAAACGGCTGAAATTTAGATTGAGGGTCATTCATAAAGTGTAGAATAGATGTACCAAAGGATTTTTGGAAATTCAAACTATAAGTATCCGAAAAGTACTAAAATGTACAATTTCGTAGCGTGGGAACGGATAGAGATAAAAACTTGTTATGTGGAATGCGAATCAAGGCTGAGAAGTAAGGTCGATATAAAGATATGTTACTATATTTGGTACAATTTTTAACTGGAGGTACAAATGGAGCTATAATCCTGAAATTTGAAATTTACATTTCCTCCGGCATGTATGATAGGAATATGTACGTAGTTTTGGAAACTTTTTACTTATGTGTACGAATAGTACTAAATCGTACTATAATTGGTATAATTTGGATTTTGATGAACGGAAAGAGCTGGGTTCCTGAAATTTGCTATTTGGATCATTGTTGGGGTGTATGATTGGTTTATGTAGGAAATTTTGAAAATTCGTACTAATGTGTACTATATGGTACTAAATTTGGATTTGGAGAACCGATAAAGCTGGAATCTTGACATTTGGAGTTAGGATCACTGTTGGGTGTAGAAGTGAGCTATTTAGGAGGTTTTTGGAAATTCCTACTAATCCGAACTAAATTTGCTACAACTTATATTTTGCGTAAACCGATGTATGAAGTTTTGGAAATTTGTACTAAATGGTACCAACAGTGGATTTGGGTGAATCGATTTACCTGGAATCTTAAAACTTGACATTAGGATCACTGATGGGGTGTAGGATTGAGCTTTGTTGAAAGTTTTTGAAATTCGTACTAATGTGTACTAAATGTTGTACAATTTAAATTTCGGGAGAACCAATACACCTGAAATCTGGAGTTAGGGTTACTGTTGGAGTGTAGGATTTCTGTATATATGTATTATTGGAAATTCATACTTATTGGTACTTAAATGTACTAAATTTGGTACAATTTGAATTTTGGGTGAACTGATAGAGCTGGAAACCTTGAAATAAGGCTAAGGATGGAGTATAGGATTTCTGTATATATGTATTTATTTTTGAAAATTCATACTTATGGGTACTAAAATGTGCTAAATTTGGTACGATTTCTATTTTGGGTGAACTGATAGAGTTGGGATCCTGAAATTTGGAGTTAGGTTCATTGTTGGGGTATAGGATTGGGGTATGTTGAACGTTTGGAAATTCGTACTTATGTGTACTAAGTGGTACCAAATGTTGACATGTGGATTTACGATCACTGTTGGGGTGTTGGATTCGGGTATGTAGGAAGTTTTAGAAATGTCTACTAATGTGTACTAAATAGCAATAAATTTTGTACAATTTGGATTAAGAGTGACTCGATAGAACTGGAGTTCTAAAGTTAGGTAATAAGATTTCCATTGGATTGCATGATTTTGGTAGTAATGGAAATTTGTACTTATGTGTACTAAATTCGATGCAAATTCGATTAAGGCGAACCGATAGAATCCTGAAATTTGGAATTAAGATTGGGTAAGCGGTAAGTTTTGGAAACTCGTACTTATGATTGTTGAAGTAGGTTGTTATGGAAATTTATATTAATGTGTACTAACTGGTACTAAACTTGGATTTGGGTGAATCAATATTTGAAATTTGGATTTTTTTCGAAAAAAGTAATAAAACGTACAAAGGGTAATAAATGATACTAAATTTAGTATAGAGCTAGATTTCTGTTGCGGTCAGAATTGGTGTGTAGGGTTGAGATATGGAGGTAGTTTTGGAAATACGTACTATAGGTACTAAATGGTTCTAAAATTTTAATATGGTCGGTATTGGGTTTTATATACTTCCCACACTGGCTAACGAAGTAGCGGGCATATGCAAAGAAACTTGGGGTCTAAACAGATATTTCCATGAGGCACATTTTAATCGTTGCTTTAGACATAGGGATTTGTAATAAGTATAAAGTTTTCATAAATCGTCCCGGCGTTTTTTGTAGATATTTTTAAAGCTCATAAGTGCATTTTGGCATATGATGGCATTACACAATGTTTAATTTTATTTAAAATTCCGATCCGATCAGACATTTTTTCCGAAGGACATTATTCCCAAATATTCATGCCACACATTCAGTCCTCTCAATATTTATTTATGTCAAGCTTATCACTTTCTATTTACTTCTCATTGCTCTATTACTGTCTGGCCTAAATAAAAAACCGTGTGACGTTGACACCTCTGTACTTTGTTCTTGTTTCGTATATTTTAATTAAATACGAACAACAAACTAGACTACTAAATTTTTATAATTTCTTCTACTTTGTTCTTTCATTTTGTTAATTTCTGCCAATCATTGCGGTAAATAAAGTCGTCCATTATTGTTGTGGTCCGATTTTTGTTTCTTGTTTTTTTTTTGAGCAACAATTGAACAGAAACGGCTATACACACACACACACACACACACTCATGATTAAGATAATCAGAATCATAAATCTCACTTGGCAGATAAGAAAAGAAGGAGGCATGTCTTCAAGTGTTAATTTGTGGTGTGTGTGTGTGAGAGAGTGTGTTAAATATATATTTAAGAAAGCCTCGTGCAGCTGTGCAGTATTGCGAAAGTTATTGAGCAATTAATACAAGTACGGCCGAAGCCCAGTCAAAATCAAAATATTAGCAACATGTCCTTTCTTACTGGCACCACATACAATGCAGAGGAGAAAATATGGTCGGGTCCGAAATACAAGCAAATCTACAGCCCCAAGATGACGGTGGGCGAGGCCATTGTCTTGCAATTGCGTAAGACACCCAAAAAAGTGATACAGATTTTAGAATCTACCGGAGAATCTCTAACGGCCGAGGACTTTTTGGACCATAGTATGTCCTTGGCCAAAACACTGCTCGATATGGGCTTGACAGCTGGTGATATTGTGGGTGGCTATGCCAAACATTCCCTGCATTTGGGCACTATAATGTTGGCATCGTTTTTGTGTGGCATACCCGTTCATGGTGTGTTCCAGAGTTTTGAAAAGGGTAAGTCATGAATGAAAAAAAAAAATAATTTGGCAGAGGACAAATTTAAATTTGAAATACTTTTTTTTTAGAAACCATTGCCAGCATATATGACACCACCCGCCCAAAATTAATCTTCTGTGATGAGGAAAATTATGAAAATGCCCTCTATGCCCTGGAGTCACGGAAATTAGATGCCAAAATTGTTCTAATGACCGGTGACATTCCGGGTGTGTTGAACATCAAAGATTTGGTTAAGAAACGTTCGGACATTCCAGATCTATCGGAATTTCCATGTGCCAAACTTTGCAGTGCAGATACAGCTGCCATATTGAGTTCATCGGGTACCACGGGTACACCCAAGGGTATTTTGTGCTCCCATGAGGCTATGCTTCACAATTATCTATAGTAAGTATGATTTTTAATTAAATTTGTTGTGTGTGTTTTTGAAATGAGAAATTTTGAAAATTTAATGTGAGTATGAAGTAGTTTGCAAAAGTGAGAGGGTGAGGGTGATGATAAGTGGGACAAAATGTGAAAATTTGATAAAATCAAACTCTTTTTTTTTGTTTCTCAATGTTGGTGTGAAAGTTTTTTGCCATATCGAAAGAGTAGTCTGTGCATAGTGTTAATGTTGTGGCGTGTCTAATTTTTGGGGGGGTTAGTGACCCTGAATTACTTGATAATATAGATCTAGTTATATAATTGTTTGTGTTTAAGTCCAATTGAAAAATTAAAAATAGGTTGAAAAAAATTTCAACTCCTTAGCAAAGGCGCGGATTAGAGAAAAATTCAAAGGAGTGGATTTTTTAAAAATTCTTTTTTAAGTCTTTAGCAACGGCGTGGATTTTTTAAAAATTCTTCTTTAAGTCTTTAGCAAAGGCGTGGATTTTGTAAAAATATTTTTTCAAGTCTTTAGCAAAGGCGTGGTTTTTTTAAAAATTCTTCTTTAAGTCTTTAGCAAAGGCGTGGATTTTGTAAAAATATTTTTTCAAGTCCTTAGCAAAGGCATAGCCTTGCCTAGCAGAAAATATGTTTTCAAGGCCTTAGCAAAGACGTGGATTTTTTAAAAATATTTTTTTAAGACCTTAACAAAGGCGTGGATTTTTTAAAAACATTTTTTAAGACCTTAACAAAGGCGTGGATTTTTTAAAAATATTTTTTAAGACCATGACAAAGGCGTGGATTCTTTAAAAATATTTTTTTAAGACCTTAACAAAGGCGTGGATTTTGTAAAAATATTTTTTAAAGTCCTCAGCAAAGGCATAGCCTTGCCTAGCAGAAAATATTTTTTCAAGTCCTTAACAAAGGCATAGCCTTGCCTAACAGAAAATAGTTTTTCAAGGCCTTAGCAAAGGCGTGGATTTTGTAAAAATATTTTTCAAGTCCTTAGCAAAGACATAGCCTTGCATAGCGGAAAATATTTTTTTAAGGCCTTAGCAAAGGCGTGGATTTTTTAAAAATATTTTTTAAGGCCTTAGCAAAGGCGTGGATTTTTTTTAAATATTTTTCACGTAGTATTTTATTTGAAATTATTTCCTGATTTCCCTTTATTCCTTCTTTCTTTTTTCAGCCTCACCGTTAACTCGGATTCCGTTATGATGTGTTTCAGTTCAATGTATTGGTCGACGGGCATTTTGAATTTCGTACAAAGTTTATTATTCTCCGCCCTGCGCATTGTACCCGACAGACCCTACACTCCCGATTATTTCTTCGATATGGTCGAACGTTATAAGATCACACATTGCTATGCAACACCTTCACAAATTATCGACTGGGTTACCAATCACAATAAGGATAGGGTACGCAAAGCTCTTCGATCCATTGATACTCTGTTTAGTGGCGGCACAAACATTCCACAATCGATACAGGATCAAATTATTGAACTTCTATCGGATAATAAGAAATGTCCCGGTTTTGCCATGGGTTATGGTACATCGGAAATATTCATCGCCGCCACTGTCAATGGTGGCTACCCCTTTAAATACAAGCCACAAACCGAGGGTCAACTATGGCCAAATCGTGAAATTTGCATTGTCGGTGAGAATGGTGAACGTTTGGGTCCAAATGAAAAGGGTGAAATTTATGTTCACAGCACCCACACATGGTTGGGTTATTACAAAAATCCCAACGCCACGGCACAGGCGAAAGATGGCAAATGGACAAGGACCGGTGATTTGGGTTACATCGATGACGAGGGGTACCTGCATTTGATGGGACGCACCAAGGAAATAATCAAATGGCTTAGTTTCCAGATTAGTCCACAGGCGGTTGAGGAGGTGCTACAACGACTGCCCGGTGTTGGACATGTGTGTGTCTTTGGTGTACCCGATGTGGCAAGTATCAATTTGGTGGCATGCGGCATTGTCAGAAGCCAAGATGAAGCCGGCGAAAAGTTGACAGTCGATATGGTCCACGAATACATCAAAAAGGAAATGGATGGTTTATATTTGCTGAGGGGTGGTGTTTATTTCTTGGACTCACTGCCACGCACCGATACCGGTAAAGTGCAACGTATGAAGATGTTGCAAGTTATTGAAGAAATTGATAGATAAATTTATAAATATATAATTTATTCTTACAAGAGAACAAGTATTAGTATAGATGTATGTGTTATGTAGTTATAAGTGTATTTTAAAATAATAAAAAAAAAAACTAACAATAACAAAATTATTAAATTGTTATGTTTTTAATACAGTTGGGCTTTACACATGGAACTTTTGTATGCAACTCGTATGCTACTTCATACAATTCTCCTTTGAATTTCTTCACATTTCCGTTCTTCTTCTTTCTTCCTCTCCTAAAAACACAGCAGAGTCGCAGAGTCATGCAATCTGTACCGCTACTAATTGGCAACGTCGCATCCAACCTCCATCTTATCAATACTTCGTGCATTTCGACCTTTTGTTCTAATATATTGCACGAAAAGGGCCTGTTGTGCAGATCAATTAGTTTTTATAGTTTTGAGAAATCTTCAAATGTTTCCTGAACATTATTTATTAAAGTTTTAACCTTCAAACTCGTCGTTAAATAATTCCTTGGTTCTTATAAAGCTACTTAAATTTGTATTTTCATGTTGTTGTAAAAGAAGGCGAAGCTTTCTAAAAAAAATATTTACATATTGTACTAATATATGAGTTTCCAGTGTGGGTTTGTATTAAAAATTCCACAACGGAAACAAATTTATCTTTTCCGCCAAATTAGGAAATTCATCCCTACAGATTTCCAAAACTGAGTCTGCATTGGTACTAATTTCAAAATCTCCTCATGACATTCAAGGTCTTTGTCCACAGTTCTTACGCAAATCAAAAGGGAGAAAAGGAAAAATAATATTAATTTGATTGGAAGAGGGTAGCCGGAGAAACTGTGCCACCTCTATTGACTTTAGCCACAAGTCTATAGGCAATAGACTTGTAGGTTCGGACGGACAACTGAATAGATGGTGTGTGTCGTGAGGGCTTTGCTGGCTGGAGGGAGACCTATTTAGGGTTCCGGATACAATGTGCTCCCGATACGAATTGAGTACCGGACCTTAGTTGTGCCAGAATCGAACGGGTTTGCCTAGGCGTTTGGAATAGGACTTTATTGCATATGTAGTCATTTATGGAATCACGTCATGGATTCCATCACGATAGCGCTTGAAGTCCAGACGGATGTGTCGCGAAGGTGGATATGTCATCACTGTGTGATGATTGGGATGACACGACAGATAGCATGCCAGCATGAACTGTCTAGTCAACAACACATTATGTTGCTTAACTGACAGCATCCTGGTCTCCTCATGTTGGCGATCGACGCTCGTCATTTAGACACAGCCGATTGCAATTCGGAGTGCATTATTTTGTGTCGTTTGCAAGGATCTCTACTGTGTGTCGCAAAGGAAAAAAGTCCAGACTGAGGCAGCATAATTAAGCTCTCAGAACTTTATTCCTAGCTTTCACCTTATTATTCCTCCGCAAAATTATTACTAAAGCTGCCGCTCGCTTCTATCGAGCAGCAAGGAATACCCGAAGCAAGAACTATCTTCCCAACAGAGGCAAGGTATTAGCTAATGAGCGTAATGAACTCCGTCGTACGACCCAAGGGTGGAGAACATAGTTGGGCAGACTTGTACACCAGCGTTGATGCGTTCTCTTAACATTTTTTGATGTTAAAAGAAAAATAAACCTTATTGAACCAAATTCCGCAATTTTTTAATGAATTTATTTTTTGAACTTCATAGGATGTTATTTATGTTTAAAAAAATAAAATAAATTAATTAAATTCCGCAGAATAATTCTTGTTTTTGTTTTCGCTTAAAAATTGTTTAAGAGAAATTTTACCCACCATTGGTGGAGAACTTACTCTTGAAGTCAACAGACTAGTATGAGAGCACAAAAGGAAAAAGTGGCTAAACCACCTGAAGCAATGCAACATTATCACCGGAACAAGTATATTATGGGCAACGGTGAAGTCACTCTCGAACCCTGAGGGAAGGATGACAGGACGGTTGTGACATCTAACGACGTAACTGTGACAGACCGGAAGTGGTGCGCGTGTTATTTTAACCGGCAATTCATTGAGCGAGAGTGACAGGGAGAAAAAGGGTGTACTACGTCGAACAGTTAAGGTGGCACTTGACCTATTGAAGGCCTTCGATACCGCCAATCATGCTAAGCTGTTCGAGGATATAGAAAAGTCGAATCTCCGACCGTGTTTGAAACGTTGGACAATCGGCTATATGTGTGAAAGCCAGTCGTATGTGGAATTCAGAAACAGAAAGTTTAAACCCCGTAGAATGAAACAGGGAGTTCCCCAAGGAGGGGTCATATTTCCGAAACTGTTTAACATCTAACTTTCTGATATTCCACAACCACCGGACAGCATAGATGATTGGACGGTAATGGCGTCAGGTCCCATTATTGATGACATATATTAGAGGCTAAGCTTCTACATAGATTGTCTCGTAAATTTCTTCCATCTGAAGAATATGAAAATATCCGCCACGAAATCAACAGCTGCACTGTTGACTACATGGAGGGCTGTATTGAAGCTTCCGCTGAACATAATGGTCGATGGAGAACTGATACCGACCACTAACTACTCGTCTGCGCAAGCCACTGCTTTATGCGATAAGCTGAGAAGTAGGAGCAAGGTGCTCGCTAGCCGGTGTCATTCGGGGCGCTGGTAAATATACCTTGTTGACATCTTATAAAGCAAACGGCCGGTGAGGTTTGCGAATGTAAGTGATACGCAGTGGAAGAATATTCAGACATGGCAGAATGCTGCAACAGGGTGTCTCCTCATGACTCCAGTGGACCATCGTCATGAGGTTACGGAGATCTTATCCGTCCATCGACATAATTATATATTGTCGATGCAATATTTGCTTGGGTGTTATCGTCGGGAACACCCCTGTCATAGCCTTATGGTCCAGACACGCCATGAGAGATCTTCAAGATCTAGAGAGAAATGTTCAAAGATATAAACGTGAACCACTAGATCAAGAACAGGTCTGAATGGTATTTACCCAGGTGCTCAAGCAGTAAAACAATATCGAGTGAATACCATAATCGGAAACCACCCCCATCAATAGCAGCAGAGGAGAAGCAGCTGCCCCGAAAAACACGAGTAGCCTTAGCGCAGCTACGATGAGGATGGTGGAACCGCCTCAATACATATTGGGCAAGAGGCTAAAGTTTAAATACACCCTATAAATTTGTGGTTTAAAGAGAATGAAAGAGTTCAAAAAAAGTTTAAGTTTATATTTATTGAGTCTTTTTTTAAACAATGTTAATATATAAATAAGATACATAATATGAAGGACTTATGACTATAATGTATTATCGTAATGCAGTGACAGACATTACAGCACCTAGCTTTTACATGAAATGAGACATAAAATGTGGGTATATATCAGTTAAAGTTACGTACATCCTTGCTCCCGAGACTAATACAATAAGAAGGGATAATTTATCCAGGGTTTATGAACTTAAAACTAATGATACAAAACAAAAACAAAACAATGAACAGACAAAAAAGTAAAAGTAGGTAAATCAATAACTACCCACGATGCGTACCGGTCAGTGCCTTTTCGTAAAACTGGGTAATACCCGCTTCGGACTCGTACTTATACCCTATAGGTGATGGATAATTTGTGTTATACCAACCAATGTTCACTTGACTATTACATGCTTCATTCATATGCACATTTTCATGAAACTCTGATCTTGCAATGAACTTATCCAAGATCGTACAGATATAGGTAGACATACGTTGCAATTTTGAATTTTCATAAATAAAATTATTCGAATATCTCTTATTGACACATATAAATTTTTTTCGGATGCAAAGTCTCAAAATTTTTCTCTCAAAAACCTCTAGCTCTTTCACAACAATTGGTGATATGTTAAACCAGACAGGAAAGGCATACAAAAAAACAGGCCTTATACATGTCTTGTACAACATTAATTTTGTACTTGCAATCAAAGCTTTATTGTTCAGAATTCTCAAAAATAAAATAAAAATTCCTCGGGCCTTATTTAATGCTTTTCTAGCATGTGAATTAAATTTAAATAGTTTGTTAAACTCTACTCCCAAGTACGTAATTTTGTCTCTAAAGGGAATTTCAATGCCATTTAATGCCAGTTTTAAATTCTTACTCTCGGGAACTACAGAACGTTTACATTTTCCAGATGCATTTCTAATGCAAATTGCTTCGCTCTTGGAAGTGGAGTTCAAAAACAAATGTTGTTTTGTTACATATGACAAATATGAGAATAACGTTATAAGACGAACTATTGTGAACTATAAGAACTCTAACACGTCGTCCTAAAACCAACGGCCCCCTGACTTATTTATATTCCCGCCCGAAGATACTGCTCAATCATTCACAAAAAAAGTGATTTTTAGAGTTGTCGCAATACGAGTGGAAAATAGAGAAACTTTGTAGTATATATTACTGGTATTCACATTCGTACCTTAAATTCTTAAAAAGTATATTTTTAGGCGACTTTATCGAATAAAACTATTATTTTGCCCTATTGATAAGAAAATGTATGTTTGCAATTTTGTCTAGTTCTGAGTATTTATGTCATTCTTAGGTGGGAGAGTATATATGTTACTAAAACAATTTCTCTCTCAAAAGATATTTCAATTATATTTCAGACACAGATTAGATATGGGGCATGTTATTGACCTAGTCAGAAAACAGTAGTCTAATAGTTCATAATGTTTTTTATGTAGAACATTATCTTATCACAAATGATATGCTAAACAAGCTTTCGTTACTCTCAGTTGAATGAGAAGCACAAAAACACATAAATACTAGGGTTGGAAAGCGATCTTAGGTATGACCTTCCATAAAATAACTTGTAATGTTATTCTACATAAGGACCACCAATTAGTGATGTGTATATGAAAACCACCAATACAAAAGACCATTTAGGGGGAATTTTTCAATGAAAACTCACCGACTGTTTGAAATAGAATGCCAACGATTTAAGATTTTTCAAAAAACATTATTTTCTGTTTTTGTACACCTGACTTCGGTTGGCACTTTTAGGTATATATCATT